AATTTTTCAGATATATATATTTTTTTTTTTTTTTTTTTTTTTTTATTTTCTTTGTTATTTCAAAATTATTGCTACTTTTTATAGAATATATTTATGATATTTATAAAAAATATTGCACATTTTTTTATTATTTTTATAAATTATCATTTTTCTCCATGTAGTAATGTTAAATAGTTTTGATTTTTTTTAATGAAATTTTATTAACCAAAATTAGAATTATTTTAAAGTAGTAAAAAGAGAAAAAAAAAAGAAGAAAAAAGAGTGATAAAAATAAAGATACAAAAAATTTTTCTAAGGAATATATCATATATAAAGAAAGTTGTATATAATAATAAATTTGAGTGCTTCTAATAATTTTAATAATTATAATATACATTAAGATTTATATATTTTTAAAAAAAAAAAAATAATAAAATAAAATAAAATTCTACAAAATAAATATATAAATAATATAAAAAAAGAATTGTAAAAAAATAGGTTTTAATTCCTTTAATTATATAAAATTTATGATTTATTTTTTCTTTTTTTAAATAGTAATTGAAAATGTAGTTTTAAATTAAAAAATATCTAAAGTGGATCACATATATATATATATATATGTATTTAATTTTTTCAAGTATAATTATTTAATTTAATTTTTACATAAAATATATACTTTTTATGAAATTTAAAAATCATAAAAGTAAAATAATTTTAGAAATACAAGAATAAAAAAAAAAAAAAAAAAAAATATAGATTATTTTTATTAAGATACATATAGGCATATAAATATATATTTTAGTAATGCATTTTTTATTTTCAAATATAACTGTCTATGTATAAAGTAAATAGTAATGGATGCACAAATAACAAATAAAGATGTTGAAGATATAATAAATCACATCAATGAAAATGAATTGCATTTAAATAAAAAAATAAAAAGAAAACATTTCAATTATGAAAATCTATCTAAGGAATTTTTATTAATAGACCCTACATATACACAACAATACAGTGAAATATATTGCCTTAGAATAAAAATAATGAAAAATTTATTAATGAAGACAATAGAAATGTTAAAAGATGATAAAAAAAAAGACAATGATGAATATAATGTATTAAATTATTTAAAAGAAATCAAAGCTAATGAAAAGTGCTATTGTATAGGTACACTTTTTAAAAAAATGCAATTGAGACCATCTATTTTAAAAGAATACTTAAGTGAAATAAATATCGTTGAAACTTTAGTTAATTTTTCACACGAAGAAGATACATTATTTTTAGAAGATGAAACTGCAAGATTAAGATTAGAAGGAAATATAAATAGTGATCATTATGTGACTGGATTAACATTAATAGTAAAAGGTCAAGGAATGAGTAATGGCTCACTTTATGTAGAAGAGCTAATTTATTCCTATTTACCAAAATTAGAGATACCAAAATGTATTAGTAATGATGATAAATATATATTATTTGTATCAGGATTATATATAAATGAGTTAAATAAAAATATAAATAACATATCACTCTTAAGGAATTTTATATTAGGATTACATGGAGATATAAATATATCCGAAAATCTTATCCGCTTAATAATAGTTGGTAATAGTTTAAGCAATTTAGATAATGATGAAACTAATTTAAATACAATTGATGTATTCATTTCTTCTATATGTTCTGCCGTATATGTTGATATAATGCCTGGAGAAAAAGATCCCAGTGATTCAAATTTACCTCAACAACCATTTCCTAATTTATTTTTTAGAAAATCCAAAAATTACAATTCTTTTCAATGTGTTACAAATCCATATATTTTTTCAATTGATAACATAAATATTTGCTGTATGTCTGGTGAATCTGTTAATAACATTTCTTCCTATTCTAAAAATAGCAAAATACAATCATTGAAAATTATAGCACAAAGTAGAATTTTATCACCAACTTCACCTGATACATTAGGTTGTTATCCTTTTACAAAAAACGATCCATTTTGTATACATGATGATAACACATATCCTCATATTTTTATTAATGGGAATTGTTCTAAATTAGAAATAGAATATATGCGAAATGACAATAATGAAAAACAATTACCACTATTAGTATGTCTTCCGAGTTTTCAAATTACACCAAAAGCACTACTAATAAATACAAAAAATATGGATTATAAAGTTTTAACATTCGAAGTAGAGAAGAACATATAGAAAAAAATAATTTAATAATGCACTATTTTATATGTGTTTTTTAGAACTATTTATTTTCTTATTTATTTTTAAAAAAAAAAAATATATATATATTTTTTAAATTTCTTTAGACAAATTAAGATAATAAAAAAAAAAATAGTCTGTTATTTAATTTTTCATTTTGAAATATTAATTATTTTTTACTAATATATTTCCTTAATAAAATTATTTTAATAAATTCAGAAATATTTAAGGATAAAAAATGAAGTAATGATGGATATTCTCTACTTATGTATTTTAATTAAAACATATCATAAAAATTATTTTAATAAGTAACTTAATAATACTGAATCTTAAAAAATTTTTAATGAAAACAATAGTTTGTTTTTCAAAATTTTTCTAATTATTAATAACTTTTAAATTAATCTCCACTCTTAAAGAAAATAGTTTTTAGTACTTTATGAAAAAATAACAGGAAATCAATAAATTTATATAAACATATTTAGAATAATTCACATTCTTGAAACATTTTTTTTTTTTTTTTTTTTTTGTGATTATAAAAAATGTTTATTTAAAGAATATCTCCCTTTTTTATGAATTTTTTATTTTTTAAACTATATGAAAAGCTTAATAAATGAACCACTATATGATCGATATAAAACATAACTTTAAGACACTAAACAATTGTATATATATATATAACTTAGTTTTACAATTTATATTTTAATATATATGCATTTATATAAACTAATAGAATTATTTTACAATTTTTTAAAAGAGTATTTTTATATATCTCTAACAATCACTATATTTTTTTGCACCAACTTTTTTATGAATTATAATGTGCATTATTATTTAATTTTGAATATTTTATAATTTTTTTTTTTTTTTTTTTTCTTTTTTTAATACTTCTAAAAAAATTTGAAAGAATTATACGAGTAAAAAATATATGAAGCATTACCAAATAAGAAATACAAAAAAAAAAAAAAAAATAAAAAAAAAAAAAGTAAAATAAAAATGAAATAAAATGAAAAACAAAATAAAATTATACATAAATTTAGACATCTCTAAAAAAAAAAAAAAATTATTGTAAAATATTAATTTGCTATCATATAATTTTTTCTTGAAATTTATTTAAATTTTTGTTTAAGCTTTTATTTTTTTTTTAGTATTTCTTATAATTTTTTTTGTATTTTTTAGTAAAAATTAGAAAAAAAAAAAAAAAAAAAAAAAAAAATATGTATAATTTACACTAGTACAAAAAAAAAAAAAATATGATAAAAATTAATTCACACATTAATGTAATTTTTGTAAAAATGTAAATATGTTTAAAAAATGAATGAAAAGATAATAATTCGTGATCCATTATTTATAGTACCTAATGAAAATAAAAGTAATGTACTAAAATATGAAGAAGATAATAATTTTAATAATGAAAGAAATGATGCGACTAACTTGATAAACCATATAAATACACTATTGCCTTATAAAAGAAACAATAAATTAAATAATGATACTAATGAAGTATCTTTAGATTTAAATGAAAAGGAAAATATGAATTGTTTTTTAAATAAAAAAAAACTTAATTATAAAATAAAGAGTAATGACAACAATGTTATACAGTCATATAGAAAGGGTGAAATAAATACTAGCTATAATATAATGGATAATATGTATGATATTTATTATACAAACAAAAGTAATAAAAATTTAAATGATTATTTGAAACATATAAATATTAATCACACAGCTCCATGTGTAGGTGAATTTAGAACATGTATGAATTGTTTTTTAAATATTTCTACATTATTTTGTAAGACTTGTAATATTTTTTTATGTGCCATTTGTAATATAAAATTACACAAAAATAATTCTAATCATGTCATTAATGTAGCTAGCAGTGGATTGTATGAAAACAATATTAAATATAATGACATAATATTACAAGAAAAAGATAAATGGTTAGTAGAATTAGATAATAGTGTACCAATAAAAATTAAAGAAAGATGTCCAATACATCCAAATGAATATATAAAATATGTTTGTAAAACTTGTAAATATACACTATTATGTGTGGATTGTTTATTACTTGATTCTATACATGTTAAGCATAAAGATGATGAAGATGATGGTGATCAGGAAAATGATAATACAAGTGAAAATATAAATAATAATATAAATTCCAGTAGCTCTTTTACTAAATTAAGTGATAATAGTAAAAATTTAAATTATAATAATAAATGTTCAAATAACTGTAACTCCTCTACTAATTCTATTCTAAAAAATAATTATAATTTAAATAACGAAAAACAAAATGATAAACAAAAAATACAACTAATAGTAAGTCTAAATAAATCTGATAATAATGATATTACTGAAAATGTATGTAACAACGATATATCAAATTTAAAACCTGGATTTAAATTAATTAGAGGAAATCATGAAATTTTTACATTAATGGATGCAAGAAATGAAATTAAAGAAGAATTAAATGATAAATTAGAAATTTTATGCAAAAAATCTCTTGTATTAAAAAATACATTGCCTTCATTGAGTAATATCTATAAATATGGAAAAATTACATGTAAAAATAATAAAAAATGTATAAGATCTTGTTTTACAGTTACAAATAGTTTTCTAGAAAAAAAGAAAATGAAACTATATGATAATTTAAAAGTATTACAAGATAAAAGTACTGATTTTTTAAGAAAGCTAGATGAAGAAAGAACTAATTATAAAAATTACTTGGAGAAAAAAAGGAATGAAATACAACATATGATTAAATTAAGTAATAAAAATGCAGGATTGGCTTTAGATTATTATGTTGAAAAATTAGAATCTTTTAGAAGTTTATTTTTTACAAAAGATAATTTAGTAGATATTCCAAAAAAATTAGAAATTCCTCACTCTATGATCAAATCGGAAAATTTACCTTTGTTAATTGAAAAGTTAGAATCTGAAATTTTGAATTTAAAAAAAAATATTACTAGTACATCTCATAATATAAGAAATCAATTTCAATATTTGTTTAGTTCTAATATTGAAATTCCTATATATCCAGCACATTTCCAAAATTTTTTACAAAAAAGAACATTCAATAAAGAAAAAGAACCTTTAAATAAACTCAAAAAAAAACAACAGTATTTTCATATACTTCCTTTTACAGATTTCTATATGAATATTAAAATAACTTATCAACAAAAATTTATGAGAAAAGACCCTTTGCATCAAAAATGGGAACTTAGAACTATATCCATTCGTTCAATCTATATGTGCATACATTCTCATCATAATGATATAGATTATGATCATTATTATGATCACAAAAATATATTAATTGATAATCAAAATAAAATAAAAGACAATAATTTTTCATCAATTGAAAAGGAAAATAATGAAAATAATACAAATAATTTAAATGAAAAAGAAACCACTACTCATCAATTTATAAAAAGCGGAGATGAAAGTCAATCTATAACAAAAAAGGAAGAAAAAGAAGAATATAAAGAAAAAAATAAAAATCAAAGTTTTCATAAAAATATTGTAAACAATTTAAGTAATGATATAGAATCAATTATAAGCCTCAGCAATGTAAATATTAAAACTTTTAATGATCCTGATATTACAAATATAACCATTTTAGAAAAAAGAAATTATCCATATGGAATAGAATTAACTGAATATAATGAAAAAAATGATTTAGTCGGTTATTGGCTTTTAACAAATGAAAATGAAAGTGTAATAAATGAATTATTTAATATAATAAATAATATAAAAAAAGATAATACAAAATCTCCTATTATCCCTTCTTTTCATCCCAAAATTAATATGAATAGTCCCTTCTTTAATTATCATGAGAATAACATAAGTACAATTTATAAACATTTTTCTGCAAACATTATTGAGGAATCTTATATGGATCATTTTAAAAATAATTTAAAATATTATGAAGGAAAATATTTAGGTAAAAATAAGAATAAAGGATATAGCATAGATACTTTGTGCGGAAGTTATATAAATGATAATTTAAATGATGATATTTTTCAAAATTCTAGCTTACTATATGCTTATGATTATTTCAATGATTCAAAATATTCAAAAAGTTTAAATGAAATAAGCGCAGATGATTTTACGAATGAGTCAAGTATATCCAAATTATATGAAAAACTTAAAAAAGAGAATGATGCAAATTCATTAGATAGTTCTACTTTTTCTAAAAATAATCAACACAACAAATTAACTCAATTGAAAAGAAACAATTTACAAGAAGAATCTATTTTTATGAGTTCAAAGGAATATAATAATAATTCTCTTAAAGAATTGAGAACTGAAGATTTTAATTTAACATACAATTTTAAACAGGCGAATAAAAATATTTCAAACAAGGAAGATTATAATGCTACTATTTTGAGAAAAATAGAAGAAAAAAATGAAAAAAATAGTAAATATGATCGTGATATAAATATAGACATTGTAAAACGAAATTTAATAGATGAAGGAAAACATTTACTTCCATTATATTCTGAGTCCAATATTTTAAATAATTATAATTTATCAGATATTTGTAGTAATTATGTAAATATAGATGAGAATGATGATGAAACAAAAATGGAAAAAAATAACTTTTTTAATAGTACCACCAAAAATACACATGTTCTAAGTGATAAAAAAATAAATAATATAATTTATATAAAAAAGGAAACTGATTTTACTGATATTTCAATACCTAAAAATAAAACAGAAGAAATTGTTAATAACAATTCATCTGCTAGTAATAATGATAGAGATAAGAGAAATGAAGTAAAAAATTATGAGTTACAAAATAGCAATAATACTTCAAGTAAATATGAAGAAAGAACATGCTATTCTAAAAATAATTTAAAAAATGAAAACAATTTGGATATTTATAATGACACCTTAAAAAACATTACATATAATTCATCTAAAAATTCCTATACAGAATGCAACATAAAAGATAGTAAAATACAGGAAGACAATAAAATGAATGTAAATATAAACTCAAAAAATAATTTATTATATTATATGAATAGTTTAAATAAAAGTGGAAAGTTAAATGATGATGAGAATATAAAAGTAAATAATATTTCTAATGTAAATAGTTATATCAATAAATATGATAATAATAATGATAATAATAGTATTACAAAACATGAATTAAATCCTAATATTTTTTTTGATCAACCACAAAATTCTGATAATAACAATGGGATTAAAATGGATAAAAATAATATAAATCCTTCATATAATACTGAGTTAGATAGAAAAACACATATAGAAAAGTTAACTACGGAAGATAGCAATTCATGCGATATTAAAGATCTTAAAAACATAATAACTACTAAAATAAATCATCTGGAATTATTAACTAATAAGTATTTAACCAATCGTAAGATATCAACAAATTCTTATTATAATGTAAAGGATGAAAAAAATGATGTGTATAATAATAGCTATGATAAAAATATGAAGACTACAGATTTGCTTAAATTAGATGAAGTTCAGGAGTTTTTACAAAAATTAAATAATTCAGATAATGATTATAATGATATTAATTCAAAAAATATATTAAAAAATGAAACCTTAAATAAGAAAAAAAATAATGAAATTAGTAATTCATGTAACGTAAATGATGAAAATAATTTTGAAAAAGCTAAAAATCATATTTATATTGATGGAGTGACAAATAATGATAATTATAATGTGAATTATGTAAATACTTATAATTCATTAGAAAAGCATGATAATAAACATTATGATAATGATTATTATAATCTTTGTGATAATGAAAATAAAAAACGCATTTACGATAATTGTATATATTTCAAAAATAATGAGCAAGATACATATAATAACAAAAGTAATAGCATAAAGAGAGACATTACCGATGAAAGAAATTTATTAAACAGTAGTGAAAATAAGAATAATACATATATACTAAAATATAATGATATGAATCATGAAGTATGTAAAAAGAACATGGGTACAAATGAAGATATGCAATGTGAGAATATACAAAATAATTCAACTAGTTCAAATAGTAATTATATTAACGTTGAAAATAATAAATCTTTAAATCTTCATAAAGATAATAATTTTATAAAAAAAGATAAATTCATTCAAAGAGATAATGACACATATAACATAAGTGAATATGACAATAAAATTTATTTAACAAATAAAAAAATGTGTAACTCAAATAATGCAAATTATTTAAATAATATGAATAATTCACATAATGAAGAAAATGTAAATGAATCATACAATTTGAATAATTTAAAAAATATAAATGAAAATCTTAATGATAAAAATGATAAAATGATGAAGAGTTATATTATAAGTAAAAATAATAATACATGTAATAACAAATTAGACAACTTGAATGATAAAGAAGAAGAAGAAAAGACAGTCCAAAATATAAATGATGAAAATAATACTTTTAATATGAGTAACCAAGATTTATTACTTTGTAATTCACTGCAGGATAATAGCAATGATTTATTATTCAAAGTAAAAAGCAAAGAGGATATGGGGAAAATAAAATATTCACAAATAAAGAGTAGTTTTATTGAAGACAAAAAAGTATCTTTAGAAAGTGACAAAAATAATGAAAATAATTTTAAAAGTATAAACAAATATGAAAACAAAAATTTTGAATCTTTTCAAATAAATGGGAAAACAAAAATGACTAATGATTTGAAAAAAATTCAAGAAAAAATAGAAAGTAAAGTAAAGAAATACAAACTTGAAATTATAGACAAAAATAAAGCTCCACCTTCAAAAAAAAAAAAAAATAATTTCAAACATGCTAAAACAAAAAAGATAGAAATAAGTAATGATAATTCTACTAATGTTATAAATAAAGTACTAAGCCAAATAGGCAATAAAAAGTTAGGTTCATAAATTTATAGAAAAAAAAAAAGATTAAGAAATATATACATTTTTCACTATAAAAACTATAAAAATTTGAATTATAAAGATAAGGAAGTTTTTCTTTAATATGAACTTATTTGTTGTAGTTATAATCCTACTAAGTTTCTTTTGTAAAATTTTTTCTTTTTTTTTTTTCTTTTTTTTTTTTGTTCTAAAGTTTTAAAGTTTTTTTTTTTCCCCCTCTCTTTTTTTTGTTTATAACATATACATAAT